ATCAAGTTCAAATCTGTGAGTCATGTATAACGGGGCATTAAAGCTGATCAAATTTAAGCACAAGTCTCTCAGTTTCGTCTTTTACATATCCTTTTCTCTGCTAGTTCATCCATATTTGCAGGGTATATGGGGTATATGGATAAGCACAATAATAACAAAGTAAATTGCAACAAATGATAAACAGGTTGAATATGAAATTCTACGTGAGTCGCTTCCACAAGTCAAATAAGAGATACGTAGAGTGATAAAGACGAAGAGAGTGGAGAATGGAGAATAAGATAAAAACAACAGGCCACGTATCTGTCCTCTGTCCGTATATATATATATATGTATATATATATATATATGTATATATATATATATGTATATATATATATATGTATATATACATAAATGCATATAAAGTTAAGAAATTGAAAGAGAAAGAAGAAAAGAAAGAAAAAGAAGAAGTAATATTTGCATAATTTAAATGCTAATTAGCAAGTCAAAAAAGTATAAAAGCTATAAATAAATACACTCAAACATACATACATACAAACACACACATATATATATATATATATATATATATATATATATATATATATATATATATATATATATATATATGTCTATATGCAAATGTTTATACAGACATTCATGTGTGCATATTAATATGAAAATCAATAATTTCTACACACACACATGCATATAGAACCTGAAACAAAACTCGTTTCTTGGCGCCTCATTAAAAATGAAGAAGAACAACAACAAAAGCTTTAAGCCAAAAATCAAATGAAATGAAATTAAATCGAGTTCAAATATTTCACAATTATTTCTTCAAATGGGTAAAAGAATTTTGCAGAAATATTACAAAGACATATATATATAGGTTCTATATAGAGAGAGTCTGGTACGAATCTATTCTATATATAATAGATAAGTCATATTAGTCAGAGCACTTAAATTGCAACAGATCTGAACAAGTTTCTAGAAGAACAAAGTAGAGTCAAACTTAATCATTAATCATTGATGATCATTGATCATTGATCAGTTTTTGTAGAGCAACAACAACAATATCTATGATATAATTGTAGCTTGGGCTATTAATTCTATAACAGTATTACAGTCTGATTACACTCGTTCATTAAGTGCAAGAGAGTATATTGATTTGGCGTGCGAAGTATTGAAGTTCGAAGTTTCGTGTAGTACTGTATCCTCTAAAGTTTTAGAGTTGCAAGTCCTAGATTAAACTCTTCTTGATTTACCAAATAAATTACCAAAATCTATATATTCTACAACTTTGGAGTCTAAGTCCCCATATCTAACAGTTCGTTTTACTTAGAATTTACCTAAATGATATATCATCTCATATCTACCAGATTTGCCTCAGAGAGACCTATTAGGCAAGTCGTAAGACGTGGTATGTCTTTATTACTGTAGAATAATACGATTTATTTGTATATCTTTCTTTAACCAAATCGGTGTACATATATCATAATGTTAAAATATGGTTATAAAAGATATATCATAGAAGTCTTTTATAAATGGATCAACTTTGCCTCGATTACCGTATACCTCTTCCAATTTTTACCCTGATCTTAAGTTTATTGTGAATAACACTCAGTTTATTGGTAACGCTGGCTTCGCTATATAAAATAAGAGCTATATAAATTCGGCAGACTATATACATAGATATGTCTATATATACTGTACATATATGTATACATATACAATGTTTACATCACATAAATCAAGTCGATTTCTTTATTTGTGGCAATATCTCCAAGGCTCAAAGGCCAAAACTCTGATGAATCAGCTATTAAATATTTAGTGTCAACTGTTGTCGATAGCCCTATTTACATATCTTTAGCTATATATACGCATATATGCATACATAACTGTTTTCTTCTATTTTGTTAACTTACCATATAAAATGTTGATGGGTTTACGAATCCATAAGCCGGTGGCTCTATCGATCGGTGTTGCCAGGTGGTTTACAAATGGATATATTTATTACATTTCCATTTGCATTTACAAATATATATATATATATATATATATATATATATATATGCATATATACATATATATAAAGTATATATAGAGATATATGTAAAGTATTATATATAGTATATAGTATATATATATATATATATATGTATATATATATATAAATATAGATATCGTGTGTACAATTCAGGTTTATAATCTGGGTTACTTCTTATAACATCCTCTAACGCGTTGCTTTTTCGAACTCGAACGATTATTCGATTTGTTTGATTTTCGAATTTACATTTTTAATCTCGAAGCGATTCTTGGAAAATTTTCTGACAAAAACGCACACAAAAACACGAAAAAAACGAGCGACGGGTTTTTTTTGTTCTATACATATGCACATACATACATAGCTGTATAGCTGTATATGCATGTATTCATATTATTATTATTTTATTTCATTATTATCGATTTTTCTTTGTTTCCAAAAAAATATGTAAAAAAATTGATTTGCGACAAGGCAAACAAAACAAAAATATATGTATGGAAGACGAAGAAGAAGAAAACTGTATAAAATTATGCACACATATGATATAAGCATGTGCGTATATGTGTATATATGTGAGTGCCTGTGCGAGTGTGGGTAGAGCGAGCAAACGAGCGAGGGGGCAGGGCGGGGGTCCGTTAGCCAAAAACTTTTGCAGGGCGGTGCCGCAAAAATAAAATAAAAAATATTTTAGGCAAATTGCACACATGGGCAATGCGTATGTGTGTGCGTGTGTGTGAACAACTTGGCTTTGGTACGCCTTTGGCGCTTTTTATGCCACACTTCCATATACATTTTTCTTTTACACACACACGCACATACACATACACATACTCACAGGCCTCTAAACTGGCGCAGCTGTGCATAAAAACAATTTCAATTTATTATATAAAAAAATACAATCTATGCCACTTTAAAAAAGCACACACAAAAGCAAATGAAAAAAAAATTGAAAAAAATTAGAATTGGAACGCAGACGACGTCAGCAGCAGCAGTAGAAACGACACACACACACGCACAAAACAGAATACACTGCCAATGAGTAAGAGCGGGAGACAAAGCGAGCGAGCGAGCAAGACACAAGCACACACAGAAGTAAGAAAAAAAATTCCAACAATTTGCGCTGCGTTTTTATTTGCGACCCTTTTCACTTTAATATTCGCGCATAGATCAGCATTGCATTTGGGCAAAAACGAAAAAAAAAGTTATATATGCATATGTATGTATGCATAAATACATATATATGCACATGTATGTACACATACATACACAGGCAACAGCGACGTAGCGTGGGGGCAGTAAAACGCGACGCAATTTTCCAATGAGTTGTTATTTTCATATCCATTTTGCCTATATATATACATATATATATTATATATATATATTTATATACATACGCACTCACACACACTCACATACTCACAACCAAACGCACACAAGCAAGCACAGCTATAAAAATACACATATACAGATGAAGATATTCATATAATATATATACATATAAAATATATATACACATATAAATATACAGTTATATATAGGCGACACAACGGCACATTTTTATTTAACTTGATTTGATTTGAATTTTTTCTTCTTCTTTTCTTTCTTTTTTTTTTTTTTTGTATGGGCGGCTCTCGTTTCGTTTCGTTTATTTTATTCAGATTTAATTTATTTTAATTCCGTTATTGCGTTGCACATTTACCTTGTTGTTGGTTTTGTTTTATAGCGACGAATTTCATAATTTTATCGTTAACTTCTTATAGATAAATTCGCAACGTATTTGCAAACCGTCTTATAATTTTTTTACATGATCTGCACGCGCTGCACACACCCGAGTTTTCAGGAGTTGAACAACACATCTACATCTATAACGACTTCACGGCGACGACGACGCTGCTGCTGCTGCTGCTGATGTTGTACCGAATCATAGCTTGGCATCGAACATCAAACTCGAACATTTCGCTTGTTGGATGTTGTGCGCTTGTAAAAGAATGGCGAACGATTTCAAACCGAACAGAACACGTTTGATTCAACACTGAGGCGCCAAAATATTGAGCACAGCTAGAATACAAATTCTGTGCTATTCAAAAGGTAGCATACAAAATTCAAATCATAATAAACTGTAGAGACGACAATTAAAAAAAATGAATATAAATAAATATTAGTGCTTAGATATATCAGGCAGTACTTTGCAGCATGTCCACACCTGAAAAGCGTGGTACAACTAGTGGCCTGGCACTGTTGACACTGTTGTTGCATTTGTTGCATACAACTTTGGCTGACGCTGACTGACAAATCTTTTGTTTTTTCCGCTTTGATTTTTTTCTCATCGTTTTTGCCAATTTTGCAGTGAAAGTGAAACACAAACACAACTGCAGCCAAACGACGGAGCCACACACAACCTGCAGAGCGGTTGCAACACGCATGTTGGATGCTCGATGCCAAATATTGCAAATACATACATGTATGTATTGCTGGCCTGCTTGTTTCTGTGTGCGCGCTAATGTTTCATGTCTATTAATATTGTTTTGTTGTTGCTGTTATTATTATTAGGCGGCCGCCTGCTGATGCTACAATTGTGTATGCTATTGCTGTTGTTGTTGCCGCTTTTGACTTTTGTGCAATACACACGGCCGGCTCGCGTTGGCCTCATTGCTGTCATGCAACATATCTAAGCGCCGCAACGTTGCCATTTTTCAGCTAGCTTGGGAAGTGCGGCAACGTCGCCCTCATCCACTTGTGCGACTGCGGTGACGTTGACGCTGCTGTCAGCGCCGACTACGGCAGCACGAACAACGTTGCTGTTTATAACATAAATAAATAAAAGGCAAATGGTAAAAGCAAAGACTAAAAGGCAATAGCAAGAAGCAGCAGAGACGCAATGACGGCGATGGCGACGTTGCCGTTGCCGTTGCCGTTGCCGTTGCCCACTTTAAAAGGCAACAACAAAAATATGAAAATAATGATGATTATGATGATGATAATGATGACGATGATTGCTGTACAGAAAAGAAAGAACGGCAATGCCAGCGACAGCAGCAGCAGCAGCAGTAGCAACAAACACAACAACAGCTACAACAACAACAAGAACATCAGCAGTACGACTAGTCGTTCATACACGTTGTATTTGCATGACACTCTCGCTCAGTCACAATCATTCAGTTTTCAGTTGAAGAGAAGCCATCGCACTAGCAGGCAGCAACACACACACACATGACGACGCCCAATTTGTATGATGAAAAGGAGGTGATGGAGGAGTTCATTAGCTGTTATCGCCATTTTACAGCGCTGTGGGACAATGCGTCTATCGATTATCTATCGAAGAAGAAAAAGGCTCCCGGCTACCAGGAGCTGTTAAAAATTTTAAGACGCGTTAATCGCGAGGCTAGCGTACAGGATGTCAAGCGCAAGATCAACTCGCTGCGCTGCTGCTACAGACGCGAAATACGCAAAATACAATCATCATACAATGGCTACGAGCCGCGCCTCTGGTGGTTTCATCTGATGGACTTCCTCAAGCCGGTGCTCAATTTGAATGTCGAAACGGCGTCGCACATCAAACATGAGATCAAAGAGTTGGACGACAGTCTCGATGAGGCGAGCATGCATGTAAGTATGAGAGCGAGATGGAGATAGCGACCGAGTGTATAAAAGAGATCAAATGATAGCCGAGGGGGGCTGACGGTTCTACGTTGGTTGCGCGCGCTCCCGTTTGTCTGTGTGTGTGCGCCTTTGCGTTTGTGTGTTTGTGTGTGTGTGTGTGTGTGTGTGTGTGTGTGTGTGTTTTTGTATGTTCGGGTTGCATGCCGTGTGGGTTGGACGTGCGGCTGATACTTGTGTTGGCGCTGGTCGTACGACCGCGTTGGACGACAGTTCTATAATTGCCTGCCATGGACTCACATCATGTGCGCAATACAGAATTTTGGAAAGATTTCTTTCGTCTATATCGCTCCATGCCGGAACTCTGGCTGACCAATTCCAAAGATTATCGCAATCGCAAGCTCAAAGCCCGATCGTACGAGCGCTTGCTGCGTCACATGCTAACCAGCGACCCCTATGCCAACATCCACATGGTCAAGCGTAAGATCAACAATCTGCGCACCTCGTACCGACGCGAGCTGCGCAAGGTACTAGAGAGTAAATCATCGGCAAATGGGGTTTACGGCAACGAGGAGTATGTGCCGTCGCTTTGGTACTTCAATGAGCTGGAATTTCTCTACGATCAGGAGACGGGCGAGGCGCAAACGCTGATTGATGCGGAACAGGAACATGAACATGAACCGAAATCGATATCGGAACGAAAACAAGAACCGGAACATGAAACCGAACCGGAATACCTAAAACATGCCTACAATGAAAATGTGGTTGAAGTGTCCGTGGAGGAACCAGAACCAGTGAGTTATACACACACACACAAATACAGGGTATTTTATATATATATATATATATATATAGAGGGAGAGATAGTATATAATTTAAAGCTGCCTAAAATACCACGTAAAAAGACATCATCAATTTTTAGACTAGACTAAATACAGGATATTTCCTTGTTGACTCATGGCAATCTGTTCGCGAAGTGAAGTTTATTTTTGGAAATATAATGACTCTTTGTAGGACGAGGACATTTTCGCTGAGCCCTTTCCGCCCGAGGAGGACATGCTGGTCATTGAGGGCGAGGCTGAGGTTGAAGGCGACGTTGAAGGTGAAGGCGATGTCGACGCCGACGCTGAGGGCGGGGCGGACGCGGAGACTAACGCCAAGCAAGAAGCTTTGAGTGAAGCGCGCCACAAATGTGATCCAAAAATGGAAAGCAAATATCAGCAACATTCCAATAGCGGCAACAACAATAGCAGCAGCAGCAGCAGCGGTACCGGCAAACATGTGCATCCGCATCCTTATGGCACATCGCGACAGCAGCAGCAGCAGCCGCACTCGAAGTTGCAGTTGCAAACGCAGCCTCGTCGCAGCATGGCAGCGCATCAAATGAGGCGACGTCAACGCAGCAGCGACGGCGACGCCGAGGGCGATTATGATGAGGGCAGTTCAGCGGTTAGCAAAAAGCGCCGCCAACAGATGCTGGAGCGCAACATGGAGCATACGGAAAGCGAATGCGATTTGATTGGCAAGCGAATGGCAGCGCATTTCCGAAACATGCGCGCCGATCAGCGCCTCTTCGCCGAGCGCATCATCAGCGAGGTGCTGGTCTTCGGGCGTATGAATCGTCTCTCTCTCGACGCCCGTTTCCTGCCCAGCGGCAATGTGGGTGATCTCTATACCAGGGATAATTACAAATAGTGCAAAAGAGAAAGAGAGAGAGCGCGAGTAGAAGAGAGCACAAAACTATGCAAGTAGTGCTAGTGTGACACTGGCTTTAGTCATAAAGCGCCAATTAGAGTGACGACGGTGAAGGCGAAGGCGACGGCGACGGCAATAACTGAATAAAAGCAAAAGCAATTGTGCGAATATGTTCAGGCGACAAAAGTGTCCGAAATGTTCCAAAAGTGTGTGTACAAATGAATTATAATATATACAAATCAGGTTAATATGATGATAATTTATTTAAGACTAACAACAAATATACAAATATTATGTAAAGTAGTTAAGTTGCAATTAAAAATATTTTAGGCATTAAATTGAAAAACTTAATAGAATTCAGCGTAGTCATAAACGTACGAAAGATATAATAATATGATAATCGGCATAAAAGGCCGTTGTAATTTAATTTCTTTATTGGTACTAATAGGGTAAGTGAAAGTCTAATACAAGGAAAAACAAATGACAAGAAAGAAAATCAATGAAATCACTAAAGATTCTGTGATAGTCCTGATAATTCTTGACTTATAATCTATGATGTATGTATGTAAACAAAATGTAATAAAATAAACATTTGACTTTTAGCGATACAACGCCAATATAGATTTTTACTTTGAAGCTTTGAGCCTTGGCATACTGAAATGACATTGAATTATTGATTTGCAAAATATTTCAAATGGCTGACTAATTTCAATACCTCTGTGTTCCCCAACCAAAGTCAACACCAATGAGTTTTGTCGGCTGGCCAAAGCTTAAGCTTTGACTCAAAATGCAAAAGAAAAAAGAACCGTATAGCCCGCGAACCGGTTTTTAATCATTTTAGATTTGCGAGCTGGCAACGAGACTGCACTGCTCTGCTCTACCATCTCTGTCGCACTTGTACTGAACACTTCTGCTGTACAAGCTCTACCCCTGCGCAGCGGCTAGGCAAAAGCAACAACAACCACAGACTAAGCCATCCTTCTCGATATTTTTATTGCTGCTGTTCTTGTTCTTGTTCCATGTCGCTGTGCATTGGCACAGTCTCAACGCGCCGCTGCGGCTCTGCTTCCACGCTGTGCAAGAGATTTCGCTCGTTTTTCTTGTTCTTTTTATTTTTATTTTTTTTTTTTTTGTTTTTTTTTTTTGCTTCTCTTGTTTCTTTGCTTTAGTAACTTTAATTTGCTGCCATTGCCGTTGGGGTCCGTTATGCTGAGTCTCTCTCAACTCTAACCCCCAGGCCCCTACACTTACATGCATGCGTGTTGGTGTGTCTGTGTATTTGTTGTGTATAGGACAGCTGCCTTGGAATTGGGATAGTCATCTGAATCTGAGTCAGCTTGAGCTTAAGCCTTACATTCTGCTAGACAACAACACGCTGCATTTAATACCATCTGTCTGTCTTTGCCAGCAGCAAGAAAAGGAGGAAGAATAAGAAGTAAAAGCAGAAATAGAAGTTTGTATGCATACATACATATGTATGTGTGTACTTACATATATAAGCAGAAGAAGAGCGCCCAAAGCGTCGAAAGCTTTGTTTTTCTTTTCTTTTTTCTTTATCAGCTTTGTTACAGGTTGCATTCGCTGGCAGTTCGAAGGAGTGCCCACTGTCTTTTGCTAATGCTTTGCCAAAAGTTTCCATAACATTTTTAAGGCTGGAAAACACCCCAGGCATAGTAATTTTATATGTATGCACAGATGTATGTACATACATACATATGTATGTATATTAGGCACATTTTAGATTAGTCTGAGCTTTCATTCTGGCAATCTTAAAGTAACTTTTGTTACTTTATAAGTTGACACTTTGCCTATAAATGTATGGGAATATGCATGAATGGTCATACTTAACTAGTTATTTAGGCATTGTTTTAAGTCTCTTTGTGAGAGTTTATGTACGTATATTTGTATGTTAAGTCATTCAATTATTGATAATGGTATACATACAGTTTGTCAAGAAACTCTTTACACAGTGAAAAAAATATAGTTTTTGACTTGAGCAAAATTAATAGCCTATAAGTCAATGACATTTTTAATGCTAAATTGTTTAACAACATTTATTGAGTTAAATTATAAAAAAAAAATGTGTATTAATATAAGCAACAAAAACTAAAATGACTTATTTTTTACGCTATCAAGAAACTATTTACACACTTTGATTTTTCTTAACTAGAATATAAATAAATAGAAAACAAATGATGCTAATTTTAATACATGCTGGAGGCGTAGTCTCATGGAATTGAGCAACTTTATTAAGTATTCAAGAGAGATCTTTTGCCACTCAATGGGGCTCAGATCAAGACACTGTGGTATTGTATCAAGAACCTTTTCACCTCCTTAAACTTTGATTCATTGTCTTGATAGAATTTAAATTTTGGCCAAGCATTTTAAAAGTTAAAGTTATTCTGTAGTACTCCACAAAATTTTACAGCCTAATTAAAAGAAATACAAAAAATAACACTTTTTAAGAGACGCAAAAAGCATAGATAACGCTAAAGCACCGTTATTTCCAAGAATAAGATCGAAACAGAATTTCGAGACGCAATGTGTAAGCAGTTTCTTGACAGCTTGAACAGTTTTTGTTGTTTACTTCGTTATTTTTAGTTTTGCTATTTCTTTTATAATTTTATTCAAAACCTATAATTAAACTTTATTGTTTACAATTACAAATAAATTATAAAGCATTAAAAATGTTTCTTTAATTTGAAATAAAGGCTATTAATTTTGCACCTAAAGTCAAAAATTGTATTTTTTTTTCAGTGTGCAGTGTTTCTTGACAAACTGTATCTACATACATACATACATATGTACATGTACATGTCATTAGCCGCTGCAGAAGCCTTTTGCTATAACGTAAAACTATATACATTTGTACGCTTTTAGATTTACAGTTATATATGTGTATATGTTGTATGTAGAATACCTACACAATTATCTTGCCACATCAATAATTCCATTGAAAAGCTTTCAATTGTGTATTCAATTATCGGGAATACTATCGATAGAAATTCAGTTGCATTGTCCGTTGCTCTTTGCCATCCACCCGCTAGCTTACAGCTATTCCATGCATTTTGCTTCTGATATTCTTTGTTTGTTATCTTTGCTTTTCTTCTTCTTTTTTTTTTGTCTTATTGTTATTTGGCCACTTTCCTTATTCTTTTGCTCGCATGTATACACACACATCCACATACATCCATACATACATATGTACGTATGCATGTATAAATAAAAGTTTTATATCTTTCTTTGCCAGTCCGTGCTCGTTCTTGTTGTTGTTTGACATTAGCAATTCTCTTTTTAACTTTTTCGCCGCTGCCCCGCTGCCTCTGATGCTTGTTGTTGTTTTTAATTTCCCTTTGCTTGCCATTTTTACTGTTGCGGCTTTGCCCGTCGCAGTTCGACTTTGTGCCCTGCTCTGTCCTCTCCCATTCTCTTCCCACCAGCCTCCCCCCACACACCGATCATACACCATCACAACAGCAGGTCATTAAAATAACTTTGTTGCCCTGTCCTTCCTGTGTTCATTTCGCCTTGCTCTGCATTTTTATTGCCACTGTCTGCGTCTACGTCTTTCACGTCTTCGCCCTTCACTGAAATGATTCTTTTTGTATTATTATTATTGTTGTTGTTGTTGTCGTGGTTTGCTCTGTGTTTCTGGTTTTATTTTTTCTCGTTTCTTTGTTGTTGTTGTTGTAGCCGGCATTTAAGCCGGCGAACAATTTTAGGCAAATTACTGCGTTGGCTCAGCATGGTCTTAGCTTTTGCTTTGTCATACAAAGTTGCTGATGCTGCCCCGCCTTTGCCTAGGCCACAATCAACCGCAATCAACCAGCCCATCTGTAAGCGAGTGTATGTGTATAAGTGTGTGTGCGTGTAAGTAGTGGGGTGCATGGCACAAAATGAAAATGGCAAAACAAGGTCAAGTGTAGGGAGCAAAGTTTGTTTGAGAGCACATACACACACACACAGAAGCACACGCACATACACGCAAATACAAATTATATACATACATATGTATATATGTATGTATATATATGTACACATCTGTATATAAATTCATACATAAATAAAAACGAAAGCTTACACTCGCATAACTTTTTCATTAAGTTCAGTTGTTGTTTCTGCATTTGTTTAAATAAAAAATTTGTCAAGCCGCTTTTGTCGGTGTTGACGTCGCCGCCGCCGCCGTTGCCGTTGCGACTGAGTCACGCTCAACAGGCGGCACACCATTTTGAGGTTAACTTTTTGTCATATTGACGACGAAATAATTTGCAGAAAGGTGTGAAGTATTTGGGAGAGCTGAACTTGACGTATGACAAAACCCAACAACACCGACATCGACAACACCTGTGGCTGCGAATGCGACTGAGCACACATACACACCACATCCACATAGAAGAAGAGAAAGAAAAAAGCAATAATAAAATCGAGAACCGAAACCAAAACAACCCTCAACAGAGATTTCCTGGCAATTTGCAGGCCTATGCTGCAATGCTCGATATCGACGTCAGCGCCCAAATGTTGGGAGAAGCTGAAGTTCTGGCTTTTTCTCCCACTGCTTCTGGTTTGAAGCACACATGTGACGTATGCGCTTACCGAAAACCATGGAATCAAATCGGCAGCTGAAAGTGTAACCAAAACACAATCACACACAAAGGCAAAAGCTACATTATACATACAAGTATATATATATATACATACTTGTGTGCCTGTTTGTACGTATTCGTTTGTATATGTATATATGTATATGCATATGTGAGCATTTGTATACAAATTATATATCAACGCACACGTATACACAAATCAGCTACAACAACATCGCAAAACGAAAAAGAAACCTAAATAAAAAATTAAATGGAAATTTCTGATATAAAACACACGCACACACTCGCATATACAAGCAGACATACATATACATGTATATACATTGTTATATACATACACTGCCAGTCAACCAAACGTGAACATGAACATAGCGCACAGCAGAATGAAGTTTGGCAACGTTGCTTTTGTTCAGGCAGCATAACAAAGCACTGTGCTGCTGCTGCGCTGCCAGCGGCAAACGTAACGAAGCTGAAACTCTGATGCACAGTGGCGTTTGTTATTTTAATGAAAACGAATAATCTCATAATTTATTCGGTTTATTGAAATATGGTATTTTGCAGATAATGCCACGATATTTTAACAATATGTCATATTAAACATTTTTATTTAAAAAATGGTATTACTTAAGAAAATATTTTGAAAGGGTACACTGTGCGCTAAGAGACATACA